TACTCTCAGTAATTCATTCAACAAGCATTTATTGAAGATTGCTATAATGTACTGTGCTACATACCAAGAATTCAAAGATAAATAGGGTGTCTTGATCTTGAAAAGGTTACAGAAGAGTACAGATACAAACTAGTAATAAAGCACATTAACAAGGCAGTAAATGCTGCCAGGAGGTAGCAATGAACACCCCACATACAAATTAGTTCACTGATGTTAACACCGAAAGCCCTCCATACTATGAATAAAAACTTCCAAAATTCCCCTTTAAAAGTTTGAAACAGAAACTCAGAAAAGATTGCTAAAATCTATCAATTTAATATATATTTCAGGTAAGTCCAGTGGGTTGTATGTTTTCATGTGGTTGTACATGTGTATAGATTTAAATCTGTGTTTGTGTTTAGACTAATTTAAGGACAGCACTTTAATGATAGCATTTCTGAATAACTGATGCCTTAAGTAGTAAGCTTAATTTATTGCCCATAAGATTGCTTATTCATTCTAACACCGGCTATTGGTTCACAGTGTCTTAAAAGTATCATTCATTCACCACATATCCCACTAATACAAAAGTTTGGATCACTCTTTTAGGAAGACAAAGATTAAGAGTCAATATAAATTCAAAGCATTGTAGTAAATATCCCATGAATATACATAGCATTGCTTTTCAAATCCTACTCATTCAAAGTTTTCTTTTAATCAGTTAATGATATGAACGTACATCTGCCGTGGCCTTCCTTGAACTTTCTGTTTGTGAACAGTGCAGCCTCTGGCGTCAGTCTGCCTAGATTGGAAATGATGTTCATCTACTTATTAGATATGGGACTTCTACAAGACTCAATTTTCTTATCTATTAGGTAGAGACAGTAATAATCACTACCTTTCCTTGAGGGTATAAAATTGTTACTACAATGTTTCATTTGGTTTTCAACATGTAGTTATTGAAAGCCGTGTGTCCAAAGTACTCACTAAAATGAAGATGGGAAAAAAAATAAATAAAGATGGTCATTTCCAAAGGAGATCAAGTTGAAATCCAGACTAGGGCCTTCAAACCCTGCCTCTTTTTCTGACTTATAATGCTAACCAACTTAAATAAACAAAATTCAGTAAATGACTATAGAATCAGAGTTCATTTGTCTAGTGGAAACATAGAAAACAGCAATTCCTATACTTGATGCATATTTCTCCTTCTCCCCAAACTACATAACTTTAAGTCACTTAAGCATATCCTTAAAGCATCTCTTATTTATTCAAAAAATGGCAAATGGCTGGGAATGTATCTCAGTTGGTGGAGTATTGGCCTCTCATGCAGAAAGCTCTGGGTTCAGTCACCAACATCACATAAAACCAGGTATAGTGGTACATGCCTATAATCCCAACAGTTGGAGGGTAGAGGCAAGGATATCAGAAGTTCAAGGTCATGGCTCTATAATGAGTTTGTGGCTAACCTGGGCTATGTGGGACCCTGTCTCAAAATTTTTTAATTTAAATTAAAAAATTGAAAAATCTTTTTATAGGTTTCCAATCACCAGTGAATCCTGAGATCAAGAAGATAGATTTGTTCAAAATTTGTTTTTGTATTAATATACACTAGTTTAATAAAAATATTAAGAATGAAATCAAATGGATGCTCAAGGACAATCTTATTAGAGTTCAAATGAAAAACCTGGGGCAGACAAGCTGTAAATCTCAGCAGCTGCCAAGAGGAGGAAAACGGAGGGGAGAAGGAAAACAGCTATGCTGTTTAAGCCGGCATGGAGGTCAGACACCTGGTGGACTAATAACCACATGGCCAGGAGGGAACCCTTAGGAAAAGAGTAAAGAAGTCAAAAATGTTGGGAAAACCTCAAAATGTTAGGGAAAGTATGCTTAGAAAAGAAAAACCAAGAAGGAGAGGTATGCTTTTCTGAAGAGCTTAGAGAAGTGGGCAGACTTGCAAAGCTGCCGTCTGGAGCCTGATGCCCGTGGTGTGGTGTGCTGCTCAGTAGGAACGGTGGATCTGCCTTCCTAGGGGAGGTTCCGACCAGATGCCTGATCTAGCACAACTGAGATGCTAATTTTACACTCAGGCAAAGATTCTGTCCTATTGACCAGAAGGAGTTTTCTTTTAATGGGCCTTATTGGTACTATAAGTCTGGAGTGTAGGAAGGAACGAATAATGAAGGCTGGACCAGAGGAGGACAGTATACTGCATACTTTCATGAAGTTTATATCCCAGAATTTAGTGAAAGACACATCTTGATTTTACCTAAAGGAATTTATGTCCTCCTTTTGAAGCAAGAATAAAATGCCAAATATGTTCATTTTTCATTAGTCATCCCTGAAAGACTTTATTTGAGGCAGTAAGAGCCAAAAATTCCCAAAGGGGAGACAAATATTCATGGAGGCTCTGAGTGAGCAATTCCAAGAAAGGAAGGGGAAAACACCTCCTCAGCAGGAGAACTGCAGAAGAACAGTCAGTCAGGAACATTGGGGGTAGGAGATAAAATGGGGATCCTGTAAAATACCCTGGACAATCATTCAGTTGGATGCAGTGGCCTGAAGAAATGAATGTTTCACTGAAATGTTGATTTCAACCAAGTTTATTTCAGCCAAATTTTCTCTTCCCATCTTCACTCTCATTTTATCATTGGTTGTGATATTAAGTGGATTTCAGAATTTTAGTTATTATCTGTCTGTACATAGACATGTACACTCCTGAATTTCTATGGATTTCATTTGGAGATATTTACAAAGCCCTGGGTGTCTCAGTTTACTAATACAGATTAAACATGGTATCTTCTGCCCTATTCTTCTGTGATTTTTTTAGATAATTATAAGACACATGAAATTTGTGGTGAATAGTTAAAACCTAACCTGCCTTACAAGCACAAGGAACTGCGTTTTTTAAAATGTTGCAAGTCAGCCTCCCCACCATTCCTTAACACAAATGGTTAAGATTAGCCTGATCTACATAATCACATCTCCAAATCCATTCTGAGAAACACCAAAAGCTCTCTGAACGTGTAGGCAGCTCCTGACCTCAGATTTTCAGATTCCAAGACCATCCCGGCTAAGGCAGGAATGCCATTCTTCAATGTCTTAAAAATCTAGACATGGTTGTCATCTGGCCTGTCTATTCATTCCTAAATAGATGAATATTAAAAAATTAAGTATTCCTAAGAAATTATTCTGCAAAAAATATTTTAAGTACATTTTCTACCATATTTTTAGCAGTAGTTTAGGTAATTCTGACACAGATGGTCTAAAGACTACTCTCATGAGCCCAGTTGATGTGTAGACAATCCCTCTCTCAATCCCACTGATGTGTCAGCATTCTTGGACAGTGAGTCTGATGCCAGAGTGATTACTTAAGAATACAGAATTCAAGGTGGTACCTCAGCTTCCCTGAGACCCAGGAATCTGCTTATAAATCTGTACACTCTAAAGTTCTCTCGGGGACTGAAAAAATAGCTCAGCTGTTAACATAGCCTCCGCTTTTGTAGAGGACCAGAGTTTGGTATCTACCACTCTCATGGTGATAATGACCACCTGTAGTTCCAGGGGGGTCTCTGATACCTTCTTCTGGTTTATTTGGGCATTGCATGCACATGGCACAAATACATACTGCAAGCACACACATAACACAAAATAAAAATAAGTCTTTAAAAACTGTTACAAGTAAAAATGATGTTGAAATATAAGTCCTCTGGGAGGTGGTAAGCAGGCTATAACTCGCAGGCTGTAGTACTGAAGGAGAAGGGTTGGGTGTCAGCACACTGAGTGCTGTCGCCCACTTTACTGGCTTTCTGATTTTCTATAATATCTTAATCTGTTTAATGACTACTACAAAGTTTGAATGAGGCTGGTTATTATTATCATTATCATCTTTATCATTATATTAACACTAAGGAAGATGAGGGGCTCTTCACGTCTAACAGGTTGAATTTAAGTCCAAGTACCCCATATTGTCTCTGCTGACATCACAGAGGAATAGGAAGGTTGCTCCTTTCAACCCAGAAGTGTAGATTCAGATTTATTATATGCCCCACTCTAAGTCAAATTTGTAAAGGTAAAAGTATGATTCACAACATCAAGAAGATCATATAGAAAAAAATGCAAATACTAATAAAAATTTTAAATGAGTTTTTGTACTGTGGCAGTAGCAGGTTTGCACACATATCAAAAATGTAATATTCTAAATAAAATAAATAATAAAACACTGAAATTTATAAGCACATTTTTAGAAATCACACAAAGTTTGTTTTAAAGCATAGGTGACCTAATTCTGATTAATTCACCAAGTGCTTCTTAGCCTATAGAAAAAAATGTAAAATCATGAATTCATAAGTTTGTTATGTAAAGCATCAAGCAGTGAAGAAAACAGTGTATACCTTGGAAAGAAACCATGAGATATGCTTAAGGAAGCCTCAGGAAACACTGATTAATTTTATATAAATGGTTGTATATTAACATGAGGATTTCTGAGATGGTATCTACCTATATCTTTCAATTGATTCTCAAAGAATTTTGAGGCACCCCAAAAGGTTAAGGACCACAAAAGGTCTCATTTAGCACATTTAATGAATGTTGTTGTTTATGCTGGAAAAATTCCTTTTTTTTGATGACACTTCAAATAGTTTGATTGCTTTCTGTTAAGTGAGCCACTAGACATCTTTCTCCAGCTCTTGCCATTCTATAAACGCTAAAGGAGTTCCATGGCTACCTCAGCCTATCTAAATGTTATGCACATGTTGTAAGAGTTCCAGGGAAAATATAAACCAATAATCGTTTTCTAAAGTTTTCCCTTTTCATTTATTATCCATTGCTGGGTCCTTTAAATTGTTTCCTAGTAGTTCTGTGCTGCATTTCTTCTCCTATAGCAAAGTGCAAGAGCTTCTCTAGGAGGATACAATTCGATTTTGCTGCATTTCGCCCACCTAGCATTTCTTCCATTTGTATTTTATTTACACTGTGGTAGCAACACTATTGATGTTACATATTTTATTTCTCTCTTCCTTTAGGTGTGTATGCAACATTGACTGTTCTCAAACCAACTTCAATCCCCTTTGCGCTTCTGATGGGAAATCTTATGATAATGCATGTCAAATCAAAGAAGCATCATGTCAGAAACAGGAGAAAATTGAAGTCATGTCGTTGGGTCGATGTCAAGGTAATGTTCATGCCAAAATTTCATTTCAAAGAATGTCTTTAGTCCCTGTGCAGAAATGAAGAGTAAAGATACCTCCTTATTAAGAAGCTATTTCATTCCCAAACAACAGCTCTGCCTCACAATGAATAGTGTAGTCAGCTATAGAATCGATGTTGATTATAGGTGTTTGAGGGTCTATTGGCAACAGTACATCTTATTCTATATAAAAGGACTGTATCGTCACCATGCCATGAACACAGAAGATAGCAGGCATTCACCTTGCAAAGACTAAAGAGAAAGCCTAACCAAGAATCTAAGAATTGATTAGAAACCTTGAAATTAAAAGCAAATCATTTTCAAATACATTCTTAAAAGCAGAATGTACTAGAATATTGTTTTGCTGTTAAGAAAGGAGTTTGACTTGCTATTCTTTTATTATATATATCTGTTACAGTTACAAACTTTCTCCTCATCCAATATTTCAGAAAGCTTGTACCATTCTGTTATCCACTCAGAAATATGTATTGGAAATGTGTCTTTGTATAAAGGTTGCTCAGAACAATTGTTTAAAAAAGAAACCCTTAATTGCAGTGAAGATACTGTTGGAAGAATAGTTGACATATGTTTAGAAAATGGTTGATCAGTCTTTCTTGTTAACTTTTTCAACACAGATAACACAACTACCACCACTAAATCTGAAGATGGGCATTATGCACGAACAGATTATGCAGGTATGTAATATTTCCTACTACAAAATACTAACCTTTCCATAAGCACCTTGAGTGGCGTTGTTTGCCATCCTGCCTCACTTGAGCCTGCCAAGCCTCTGACCTGAGATATTCTCTTCCTAGCTCAAGCTTTCAACAGGCAAGAGCAAATTTTTGTTGAAGCAAAGAAAACACTTTTTTTTTGCCATACTTAAAGCAATTGTCAAAGATGTCAGTAAGATATAATTAACTTGTTTTGACAGTAAAAATGGTACAAATGACAAAACATTTATCAAATTAATGGGCATCAATGGAAATTAATGCAATTTTTGGCAGTATATTGTAATAAATGCAAATGTTCTTGTTTTAATTTTCATAAAAGTCAACAGTAAAAAGTTTGCTATTCTCTGAAAAGCTAGAAAGGATAGATACAAATAGAAATACAGCTCTATTTAGATGCAAATTTTACAATGAATGTATAATTTATTTTAAAATATAACCAAAGATTTAATTTATTTAGATTCTAGAATAAAGTTTCTCAGACATGTAAATTTATATATAAATAATTTTATGTGAAAACCTAAATCTTATTTGGCAACCATAAAATTTATTTTGAGGAATAAATAATGCTAATTTAATTGTCCTAGAATGAGAAGTAATTTGTGGGGATGTAATTGGCATTTTATCAAATGACTAGAATTTATAGGAACTTTGGATAAAATTATATAAACAAAATTATTGAGCCTTTAAAAGTATACAAGATATTTTTAAACATAGGTTTTCATTTAACTACTAAACATTTGGAACTCATTTTATAGCTAATAGTCCAAACAAAAGAATGGCTTCTTGTCCTCCAAAATATGTACTGATTTCATTCTCTTTTTCAGAAATTTCACCTAATAGTAATTCTGTCATTATATTTATACAGAGAGTAAAGTCCATGATTTAAAATTTTTTACTTGCATGTATAAAAATGTGGGGGAAAATTGTTGATTTTTAATATTTTGACCATTTTAATATTTTCATTAAAAGACTTTCATAATTCTAAAAGCTTGGAATGATCACAATTTTGAGTGGAGTAATAGCTCTGCTGTTCTATACCCATTCTCAAAGTACCCAAGAGAGATATTAATAGATGTTACTTGTGAGTAGACAGTACATTGCAAAGTGTTTAAACAGTTCATCTTCTACTCAGTTTTCATTTTCGTTATATGATCTTAATAAATATACTTTTTTATATACAGTCATCCATCAGAGGATTGGTTCTAGTACCCCTCATAGGCATCAAAATCTAGTGAAACTCAGGTCCTTATATAAAGTGGAGCAGTGCTTGCATGTAATCTTTCCACTCTTTCTTATGTACTTTAAACTATCTCTGTATTGCTTATAACAATACAGTTAAATTCTATGAAAATATTTTATGCTATATTGTTTAAGAAAAAAATTATTAAAATAACTCTGAACATATTCAGAAAGATGAAACTACTTTTCACATTTTCTTTTACCCACAATTTATTGAATCCATGAGTATAGAACCCACAGGTAAGAAGGGGCATATTAGTTTACTTTTTGCTATGGAGAATTTCTAATACAAGCAAAATGCACAAAAATGCAGGCTGTATAATGCCATAAATCCACATGTAATTATCATTAAAAACAAGTAACATCAATTTATGGCTAGCTCTGTCCTCACTCTCATTCTGTCTTCCCACTTCCATAACTGCTACAAGAAAATCCCAGGAATTGCAATTCTTAGCATACTGTACCTCAAAAAAATCAACTTCTTTTTAGAAAACAGCAATGTCATAGTTATTCTTTAAATAATTCTGAATAATTCTAGTAGCTTTCATCAAAATTATTTGAACACATTTTTGGTGCACATTTTGCAGGGTTTCCAAAAGTACACTTGGGACATGTTGATCCATAGAAAAATTATTAAAACTAAAAAAAAGATTATAATGAAAAATTAAGGCCTGATAATACATACTTTAGATTTTAAATTTAGCCAAATGTAAATATTATATTTTATTATAATTATTTTGACAGTGAAATGAGCCACTGCTTCTAACAGTGCTTAAAATAATTTTATAACTCTTTTAGAAACTAATTCACTTTGAAAGCCTTCAAAACTATTACATTTATCTTCTCTCTTGCACCACCCATCATTGGATTTAAAATTGTATTTTTCCCTGAAAATTCTGTTTCTGAAACAAAGAAATCTTCAAGCTGATCTGCATCCTGTGCAAATGTGCATGCATGTATATATTTGTACCAATAAAGACCAGCCTCTCACATTGTCTATCACAATTCACTTTCAAAGATTGATTCTGTGATTGGGTTTCTATTCCAAGTAGTTGATATTTGGTTTCAGAGAGGTAATGTGTGATGTTTATTCACACTGTTTTTCATTGACATGGTTTTCTAGCTTTTAAATAATATTTTTACTTATTCTCCTCTTTGAAAATTTTATACAGTGTGTTTTGATAACATCCATCCACCATTGCCTCCCTCCACCTCCACATAGGGACTCCCACCATGTCACCCTCCCAACTTAATATCCTCCTTTCCTTTTCTTATTAGTAATAATCCCTGGAGACCATCAGCTGATAGTTGCTGAATGGGGCAAGTCACTCTACTTTGGGGACATGGCCTAGATTTCCCATGTCCAGTGGATGGTCCATGCCCATGGCACATATGGATGGCACTAATTGTTTTCTATCTTATCTCTTCAATGGAGATGGAAAGGAAAGAGGACATAGCCAGATGAAAACGAACAGGTATCTCAGCATGGTCCAGATTTTTCTAGTTAGGCAGTAGATTAACCTACTAAATCTCAAAGAAACTATTTTAAGATAAAATATGTAATATTTAAGGACTAGCAAGAAGGCTCAGTGGGTAAAGGATCTTACTACCAAGCCTTATAACCTCAGTTTGATCACTATATGGGTGGATGGAGAAAACCAAATCCTGTAAATTTTCATCTGACCTCCATATGCAATAGAGACATACATGCAAACAAAATAAACAAATTTAATATATTTTAAGGTGATCTTTAAACTACATGTTTGTTAAAATCCAAATACAAAGATGACATCAATTGAAACTTGTAATTCATAACTAAACATTCACTGTATACTTTAATTCTACCTAAAACTTACTTTAACTATTTGTTATTTGCATACATGGTTGTCCTAGTTTATTTCTTCATTGCTGTGACAACAGCCTGCTTTCTTATGCAACACAGGCCCACCTGCCCAGTGGTGGCACCACCCACAGTGGGCTGGGCCCTCCCACATCACTCAACAATCAAGAAGATGCGCCACAGACATGGCCACAGGCCAGTTCAATGGAGGCAATTCCCCAACTGAGGCTCCCTCAACCCAGGTGTGTCAAGTTGACACTAAAGCTATCCAATCACAATTGACCCCTTGTCAACTTGATTCACAAACACTATTAAACCGTAACCTTTCCAATTCTTGTCCCCAAGGTATGATGTTAATATCACAACATAAGACAATACAACCTTAAAAGCCCCATAGTCCTTAAAAAAATCCAAGCACTTAAAAGTCCACAGTCTCTTTTAAAATCTCTTAACTGTGGGTGGGCTTCTGTAAAATCCAAAAAAGTACTGTCTTACATCAAAGAGAAGAATTGGGCACACCTAAGCCACACCTAAGTCCAGCAAAGTACCTCAAGGCTGGACATCTGGGATTCAGTCATGATTTTCTGAGTTCTAAAGGGTTCTGGCAGCTCCACTTCTCTGACTCTGCCATCCACAGTACAACAGCTCCTCTCCCAGACCTAGGCCAGCTCCATTCCACACTTACTGCTGTCTTTGGTGGTCATCCCATGGTCCTGGCTGAGGTCTCCACTGAAACTGAGGCTGCACCCTCACCAATGGCCTCTTCTGGCCTCTTGGGGTGTAACACTTCAGATTCTCTCCATGATATTTTCATTTCTGGGATCTTCACTGTAACTGAGGCTGCACTTTCTACCATTGGCTTTTCCTAGCCTCTCAAAGTGCCAAACCTCAGCTGCTCTCTATGACCCCTTCATGCTTTCAACACCAGAACCATGCAGGAGACTCTTACACATTACCAAGTCCTGCTTCCAGTTTGAGATGGGGGCTCAGGTTCCCTCTGTGCACTGACCTTGAGGAAATACCTCCCGGAAGACTTCACCACAGTGATGCTGGTCTCTTCTTACTTACAGCTGATTTTTCAGCCCCAGCTAACCAGCATCAATTGTCTCAGTAAAGCAAAGGTTTTACTTCAGGTTCTGGTCTCTTCTTAATCACAGCTGATTCTTCAGCCCCAGCTGACCAGAACCTACAGATTCTCAACTCAAAATATCAACAAACAGCCCTGATAGTCTCTGCTTCCCTTTGAAGCTTCACAAGCCAGGCCTTCATCATCCACAGCTCTTTCCCCATAACTGTTCCAAGCTCAACAGCAACAAACTCTAAGCACTCAGTGACTTTCCAGCCCAAAGTTACAAACATTTCAACAATCCTCCAAAAAACAGCTGGGTCAGGTCTGTCCCAGCAATACCCCACTCCTCATATCAATTTATGTCCTAGTTTTTTTCTTCATTGCTGTGACAAAAATACTTTGACCAATACCAACTTGGGGAGGAAAGGGCTTATTTGGCTTACATCTCCTGGGTTCATCAGGGAGCCCAAGGGAGGAACTCAGGGCGGGAACCTGGAGGTAGGAGCTGGAGCACAGGCCATGGAGAATCGCTGCTTACTGGCTTGCTCCCCTGGCCCCTGCTCAGCCTGATTTCTTAGGCAACACAGGCCCACCTTCCCAGAGTTGGCACCACCCACAGTGGGCTGGGCCCTCCCACATCACTCAATAATCAAGAAGATGCCCCACAGACATGGCCACAGGTCAGTCCAACAGAGGCAATTCCCCAGTTGAGGCTCCCTCAACCCAGGTGTGTCAAGCTGACATGAAAGCTATTCAGTACAATGGTTTTATTAAAATGCAGTTTATTCCCCTCTTTAGAAATGAGGTAAATGA